CTACAGTCCATGGGGTGGCATGGTCGGGCTTGACTGAACTAACTAACATGCTAACTAACTAGTGTACCTTTAGAGCTGTAAATCTGAGGGGTTGCCAAGTCAATCCCATTAACAATCTGGCAACATAGATTTCATTGTACTGAGCATTCTGAAGTGTGACAAGAAAAACAGTTTTTTTTAAGTTTATGTTTTAAAAGCTGACTTAATGTTTGCAAAATGTTTCATTAATGTTTACACATCAGTGTTTTTGAAACTTAGTGATAATTTTAAAATAGAAAGTAACTTTCCTTAAACCTCCAAGTGTGTTAGTTGCTCAGTGGTATCCGACTCTTTGCAACCCCGTGGACTGTAGCCTGCCAGGCTCCTCTGTCCATGGTATTCTCCAGGCAAGACTACTGGAGTGGGTTGCCGCACCCTCTTCCAGGGGAGCTTCCTGACCCGGGGATCTAACCTGGGTCTCCTGCATTGCAGGCAGATTTTTTACCATCTGAGCCACCAGGGAAGCCCTTAAGCCTCAAGACAGCCCCAGGAAGAAATGACCTTTTTGCCACAGTGGGCTGGGGAGGGACACTTACAGCCTGAGCTGGTGAGATCTTGGCAGCCAACAGTGCAAGCGATAGGCTGAGTGAGCCAGACAGAAGTGAATCATGGTGACCTGGGCCCTTGAGCACCTGGAGCAGGGCACGGAGGATCCGGAACAGTCCTGTTAGAGCTTCTAGACCTCTTCTCCACCTGCCAGCGCCTCCATCCCTATGCACCAGCCCTTCGAACCCTGGGGGGATGCGGAGGAAGTTCTCTCCAGGGGAAAGGGACAGGTCCTAGTTCTTTTAAAGCCACTCGAGGCTATGATAGGAGCTCCGTGTAACTTGATTCTTCTATGACTTTAAGGGTCTGAAGTCTAAAGCTGGCTGTTAACAGTGAATTAGTAACACTGAGCTGGATATTTGAGACAGGTCACGAATGTGAAAAGAGGGAAAGCTTCCTTTAAGCTGAGAGATCAGCTTTCCTTTCTCAGCCCTTCCCCTGGGGATGACCTGGAAACCTGAGCCCATCCCCAAGGGCAGGGGGTCTGCTTCAGGCTCTTCCATCCTTCCTTCCCTGAACAACGAGCAACTCCCTCCCTCCAGGACCTGCTCAGTCTCCCTGGAGAGTGGTACCTGAAACTTGAGATGGTTGGGACCAGAGCCAAGGCTGGACTCCAGCTGAACCCAGAGCCTCCATCAGGGTCCTTGAGAGCATGCTCAGTAACTGGCCAGACACTCTTAATTTCCTTGTGGGCCCAGAACACCCCATAATACCATAGGTGCTTTGTTTGCATAGGTATGGGGTGGGCAGGGGGAATAAGCCCCAGGTGAATCCTGGTGTCATCCTTCGGATGATAATTGAAACGTACATTTAAATCATTCTAACCCATGAACTCTTTTTTAATGTTGTGTGGAGCATTATTGACCCTTCTCCCCTTTATTTTCTATTCATAGTTAGCAGTGTCCCTGTGATTCCTGCCACTGTTTGGAGTAGACCTCAAGTATTTATTAATACATGTTTCCTAATTTCCATTTCCACTGACTGTACTTAAACTGAAGTTCTCATTACTTTTAACTCAACTTTCTATCTTGCTTTTCCCCTTCCAGTTAAGCCGATAGCATCACTGACATCAGTATTAACACTTTCCTCACAAATAATAGCTACCATTTATTTTGACACTGTGCCAGGCAATATGATTAGCATTTTGCCATATCATTTTGCCATTATCTCTGTTTTACAGATGAGGACACAAGTTAAATGGTCAGGTCAGGGTCATACAGCCATTTCCTGCTGTCACTAAGTTGTGTCCGACTCTTTGCAACCCCATGGACTTTAGCACTCAAGGCTCCCCTGTCCTTCACTATCTCCCGAAATTTGCACAGATTCATTGTGCCTTGAATTGGTGGTGTCATCCAACCATCTCATCCTCCGTCACCCCCTTCTCCTCCTGCCTTCAAACTTTCCCAGCATCAGGGTCTTTTCCAGTGAGTCAGTTCTTTGCATCAGGTGGCCAAAGTACTGGAGCCTCAGTTTCAGCATCAGTTCTTCCAATGAATATTCAGGACTGATTTCCTTTAGGATTGACTGGTTTGATCTCCTTGCTGTTCAAGGGACTCTCAAGAGTCTTCTCCAACACCACAGTTCAAAAACATCAATTCTTCGGTGCCCAGCCTTCTTAATGGTCCAACTCTCACATCCATACATGGCTGCTGGAAAAACCATAGCTTTGACTCCACGGACCTTGATTGGCAAAGTGATGTTTCTGCTTTTTAATATACTGTTTAGGTTTGTCATAGCTTTCCTTCCAAAGAGCAAGCATCTTTTAATTGCATGGTTGCAGTCACTGCAGTGGTTTTGGAGCCCAAGAAAATAAAATCTGTCATACAACCATGTAACTCCAGCATCACCTTGTTTTTCTAGAACCCTGTTGTCACACCATTGCTCAGAAACCTTCAGAGTTTCTTGTTATCTATGGAAATGTTATCTATGAAACTATCCATTTCTCAGCTAGGAGGGCTCATTTCCAATCTACACAGCCCCAATTTACCTCCCAATTTTCTGTTTGGTGCTGAAGAACCAAGGAGTCAGGTTACCTAAATTCTATCCCTGGGTCGCCGCGACTCAGCAGCTCTGTCCAATGAGAGCAAAAATAAGTTGGTCAACCTAGCAGTTTGGTCTGAACACTATTGGGCTATAAATAAATGGTCCTTACGCAGGTCTTTGAGTGTTGGCAAGACTTAGGAGTACACAATGAGGAGTTTTATAGCCTTAAATTCCAATTCATTTTCAACTCATTATTTCTTTGAGATGTTTGTAATAGTGGAGAATTAGATAAACCTAAATGACTAATGATAGACGATTAACTGGAAAAACTAGATATGTAGCAATAGGTTATTATTTGGAATAAAGTAAATGTCCTTGGCCATTCTTTTTCCTTTTTGGTGAAAATTAAATGATAATGTGCATGAAATTAGTTTATAAGTTGAGAAGTATCCTATAAATGTTGGTTTGTTTGTGGTCATTCATTGTATTTCTACATTAATCATAAAAATACTTGGAGCTCTACAGGTGATTCCCCAAAAGTTCCCAAAATGCTTTGAGCAATTTGGCATCATTGAAATTATATTTGTTTGTAAGTGCTCAGAATTACTATTTTGAAACATAATTTGATATGTAAGAATATTTTAAACTTCACAGTAGTGAAGGTATTTTATTTATTGATAGTTAATAGAGTGTTTGTTAAAGAAGTAATTAGAACTGGTACTTCCCTGGTGGTCCAGTGGTAAAGAATCCACCTGCCAATACAGGGGACCCAGGTTCAGTCCCTGGTCTGGGAAGATCCCACATGCTGCAGAGCAATTCAGTTGGTGCTCTAGAGCCCATGCTCTGCAACAGGAGAAGCTGCCGCAGTGAGAAGTCCTCACACTGCAGCTAGAGAGTAGCCCCCACTTGCTGCAACTAGAGAAACCCTGTGCATAGCACCAAAGTGCAGCCAAAAATAAAATTATTTTTTAAAAAAGAGATAAGTAATTAGAAATTAGTGATATGAGTTGGAAAGGTTCACCAAGTCCCTCTGCTCAATACTCTGTAATAACCTAAAGGGGAAAAGAATTTGTAAAAGAGTAGATACATAGATATATATAACTGAATCACTTGACTGTACACCTGAAACTAATGCAACATTGGTAAGTATGCTCCAATATAAAATAAAAATCAAAAAGCAATAATAGGAAGTATGAGTTTATTTTTAGGACATATTTGGGTGAATTCCTCCTAATTAAAAAAATTTAAATAAAAATTTAAAATAAGTTGCCTTGCATTACTTCAGTAGGGTTTTGGAACGTTCAAATGGAATAATTAATATCAAGAAGAGTTTGTCAATTGTAAACTATTATTCAGTTGAAAGTGGTAATATGACCTTGTTGACTAAGAGGAAAAGTACAGTTTGAAGGTCGGGTTGTTGGGAGGTTATATTTGGTGGATAATAATGCCACTGTGGGGCTTCCCCAATGACTCATCAGGTAAAGAATCCACCTGCAGTGCAGGAGACACAGGTTTGATCCCTGGGTCAGGAAAATCCCCTGGAGGAGGAAATGGCAACCCACTCCAGTCTTCTTGCCTGGAGAATTCCATGGACAGAGGAGCCTGGTGGGCTACAGTCCAGAGGGTCTCAAAGAGTCAGACATGACTGAGCGACTAGACATAGTGGCACACAGCACAATGTCACTGTATCTGTTAACCATGGCCTCAGTAGTGCAGTCAGAGCACCATTAAGCTTTCATTTTTGCTCGTAAGTCTAGGCCCACCTTATGGGTCTACTGAATCTGGTTCAGGCTCAGCTTATCTCACCTTGACCTGCTTGTGCTTCTGGGCAGATTGAGGCTTGACTGATCGAGGATGGCCTTGGCCAGGTAGCTGGTGATTGGCTGTCTGTCAGTGGGAGCACTGGCTCTCTCCTGTGGGTTCTGTCATTCTCCAGCAGGCTGGCCTGGGCTTGGCTTCATGGAGGGGCAGGAGTCCAAAAGAGAGTGGTCGTGCACAATGCCTCAGAGGCCTAGGATCAGAGTGGGCATGTTTTCCCATGTGCCACGTTATTTGGGCCAAAGCAAGTCACAGAGGGTGGGAAGATTCCATTCCTTTATGAAAAGAGCTATAAATTCACATTGGAAGGGAAGGGTGGGGAAATGAAGCCATTTTTGCAATTCACCCAGCTTAGTCACTGAAGCCAAACATTTTTCCATCTGTTTGGTTTGTGGGGTTTTTGTTGGTGATGTTTTTTGTTTGTTTTTTACTTTTTGACTGCAGCATGTGGGATTTTGGCTCCCCAACCAGAGATTGAACCCAAGCACGCTGCATTGGAAGTGCAGAGTCTTAACCACTGGACCGCCAGGAAAGTCCCTCCATTTGCTTGAAATGAGTATGTTGAAGGACATCAAAAGACCTTGAACTGAACTTACTTTCTTTTTCCTTTGTAGGCAATAAGAGAAGTGTCAGAGTTTTCCATTTAGATCAACAACTTCAAACTCTCAGCATGGAGAACTCAGAGAAGACAGAATTAGTTCTCCTTGCTTGTGGGTCCTTTAATCCTATCACCAACATGCACCTCAGGCTGTTTGAGCTGGCCAAGGACTACATGAATGGAACAGGTAGGAATAGTAACCAGCAGCAATGATGGGGTTCAGGATACACTGCCCTAAAATGTGGCACCTTGGCCTATTGGACATTTTAAGCTGGAGGATTTTGATGAAACAGCAACAGCAGGAAGGTCACTCTGCCCTCCTCCCTCCACCCTTCTTCCCTGAAAGTGAAAGTTCATGGAATTTTCCAGGCCAGAATACTGGAGTGGGTAGCCTTTCCCTTCTCCAAGATATCTTCCCAACCCAGGGATCGAACCCAGGTCTCCCGCGTTGCAGGCGGGTTCTTTACCAGCTGAGCCACAAGGGAAGCCTAGGAAGCAGATCGTAAAACATTCACACAACAGATGCCCTCCCTAAACTCAGAGAAATGGAGTATCCTTATCTATGAAGACAAAGGAGTGCCAAGCAGACAGGCGCTGTTGGATTCCCCCAAGCTCCTACACTTACCTTGTGCTCTTTGTTGTTCAGTCGCTCAGTCTTGTCCGACTCTTTGTGTCTCCATGGACTGCAGCACGCCAGGCTTCCCTGGCCTTCAGCGTCTCCTAGAGCTTGCTCAGACTCATGTCCATTGGGTTGGTGATGCCATCCAACCATCTCGTCCTCTGTCGTCCCCTTCTCTTCTTGCCTTCAGTCTTTTCCAGCATCAGGGTCTTTTCCAAAGAGTCAGCTCTTTGCATCAGGTGGCCAAAATATTGGAGCTTCAGCTTCATCATCAGTCCTTCCAATGAATATTAAGGATTGATTTCTTTTAGGATTGACTGGTTTGATCTCCTGCACTCTTTGCTCTATCATATTTCCCCATGACTGTTGACTCTTCATCAAACCTAGCATAAGAATACTTAGGTTTAACTGTGTCTTGGACCCTTCATTTCCTTATTAAGGTTCCCATGCCACATAAATCCTACATTAAGTTAATTTATATGCTTTTCTTCTGTCAATCTGTTCTTTGTCAGTTTATACCCAACCAGGGACCCTAAGAAGGTAAAAGAAAACTTTTTCTCCCCTGCATATACACAGATTCATTTTGTTTTTTTATGGAAATAATCATGCTGTGTTGATAGATGGATGAGTGTGCCAACTCACTAATAATCAGGGAACTAAAATAATAGAGTGATATTTTTCCCATCACCTTGACAAGAATTTTTAAAACTTGATAATGTCAAATATCAGGTGTTGGGAAGGAATGGGCTCTTGGATATTCAATGGATTAAGGCTTTTTACAAGGCAGTTTCGGGCACGACTGATCAACTAACATATACATAAGACAGTTTGGCAATATCGATCAAAATTTATTAATAAACTGCTGATGAGTGGGTGGTCTCTTTGATGGGTACAAAATTTCAGTTGGGGAAGTTGAAAGAGTTCTGGAGATGGATTGTAGTGATGGTTGTATAACATGTCACAATACTATACATTTAAAATGGTTTAAATGGTAAATTTTATGTTATGTGTATTTTACCACAATTAAAAATAAATAAATAAACTTGTATAATTGTTTAAAAAGAAAAAGGAGGAGGGGATCTGTGACTATGAAACCATGTTGATGATACTATTTCCTGTACATAAAATCTAATCTGTTATACCTTACATGAAGTCTGATTCTTTACCCCAGGAAAATATAAAGTTATCAAAGGCATAATTTCTCCAGTCGGCGATGCATATAAGAAGAAAGGACTCATCTCTGCCCATCACCGAGTTATCATGGCAGAACTTGCCACCAAGAACTCAAAATGGGTAGAAGTTGACACATGGGAAAGTCTTCAGAAAGAGTGGACAGAGACAGCCAAGGTGCTAAGGTATTCATGGTGAAGTCCTGCAGTTCCTGTAGGGGGTCATCACAAGGCTGCAAAGCACACAAACAGGCCTGGGTACCATTCAGCCTTTGTGTCTTTCATATGTTTTGAGATGTTTGCATGCTTGTTAACTGTGTACATCCCTGTAAAAGAACAGGAAGTACACTTGGCCTGTCTGTGCCCCTGGTGAAAAAGGTAAAGCTGTAAGATGATGTCACTGTGGTCAGTCTTCTCAAGTATAAAAGACAAAGGCAGATAATTGGGCTTCCCTGGTGGCTCAGGAGTAAAGAATCTGCCTGCCAATGCAGGAGACACGGGTTCATTCCCTGGTCCGGGAAGTTCCCCCATGTCACAGAGCAACTAAGCCCGAGCACCACAGCTACTAAGCCCATGTGCCACAGTTAGTGAAGCCCATGCGCAGTAGAGCCCATGCTCAGCAACAAGAGAAGCCACTGCACACTGCAGCTGGAGAGTAGCCTCTGCTCGCCACAGCTAGAGGAAAGCCCGAACAGCAGTGAAGACCCAGCACAGCCATAAATAAATAAAGTTTTATATATATATGTATATAGAAAGATGAAGACAGGTAATTTAAGGAAGAGAGGCCATGATTCTTGATCACAAAGAGACTTGGTTTGGATGGTACTTCCATGACAGCATATGAGGGGTTGTCACAGATCACTGTGCTCAGGACTCTGAAACTGTTCCAGTTTAAGGATTCAGACCCCAGAGTGAGTAACATCTTTATTACCTAATGTTCTCTTGAGTGGCATGTCCCCGGTGGCTCAGTGTGTAAGGAATCTGCCTGCAGTGCAGGAATCACAGGAGACGTGGGTTTGATCCCTGGATTGGGAAGAACCCATGGAGGAGGAAATGGCAACCCACTCCAGTATCCCTGTCTAGGAAATCTTATGGACTGAGGAGCCTGGAGGGCTACAGTCCATGGGGTTGCAAAGAGTTGGACATGACTGAGCTACTAAGCAAGCAAGTTCTCTTGAGTATAAAACACAAGGGCTTTCTGAAAAACCTTTCTGTCTCATGTCTATTCTTAAGAGTTTGAACCTTCTGGTTCTAACCATATTAGTTATGGTTTGGATAGGAAATAGAACCACTCTGAGCATTTTAAGCAGAAAGGGACTCTAGGTTTAGGTTGAAAGGGCTGGAGGAGTGGAAGCGGTGGTTTGTTTCAAGATCATGTCCCCTCAACTGCAGCTGAAGTTCAGGAAACTGTTCCTGCTCCTGCTGCCACCAATGCTGCTATTAAACTTTCCCAGTCTCCTAGCGTGGGGGACAGGACAGTGGAATATAGGGTCTGGCCTCCATGCCGACCTGTCAAGGTCCAGAGCCTCCCAAATCTCTCTGCCTCTGAGGACCTCTGGGAAGTGATTTCAGGGTGGGATTAAAAACCAGCCTGCAGACAATGTCCAGCCCAGTGACTTACCCAGAAGCTCAGCAGGGAGAAGAGGGTGACTTTTGTTCATTGACCAGAAGTTCTCCCATCAGAAAGCAGGCTCCTCCTCCTCACCCAGCCCTCTTTGGCTCCAGAGTAACCTTCCTGTTCATTCCAGGTTCAACTCAGCCATTCCCGAGGGAAGGGGGTTATGGGCACCAGGGCCCACAGTTGTCTCTCACGCATGTTACTCCTGTTACCTGGGTAACTGTACCACTATAAAGCCATGGGCATCCTGCTGCCCGCCAGAGTGAAGCTGCACACAGATCCTGCCTGTGGGCCCTTCCGCTTAGACTTCAGACACTTGCCACCCCCTCAGACCTTATCCTCGGCATTTAATTCTTCATTACTAGGTCAGGCTATACTCTTTTTAAAAAATATTTATTTTTCTTTATTTATTTGACTGTGCCAGGCCTGAGTTAAGTCACACGGGATCTTCGATCTTCATTGCATCATGAGGGATCTTTAGTTGTGGCATGTGGGATCTAGTTCCCTGACCAGGGATCGAACCTGGGTCCCCTGCATTGGGAGTGTGGAGTCTTAGCCACTGGCCCACCAGGGAAGTCCCAGTCAGGCCATTCTCCTCAGTGGTCAAGGGTGTGGGCTCTGGAACCAGACTGTTAGGATTCAAATTCTGGCTCTGCCATCTATAAGCTAAATGACCTTGTGCAAATTGGTCAGTGTCCTCCTGTCTCGATAGGTATAATAAACAATTCTGATAGAATGCTGGCAGTACTATAGTTGCTTTATAGTAACCAAAACATTTACTCAATCTGGTTGTTTTTGACTATCTCCTATGTCTAAGAGGCTCTGCCAGAAGCTGGGGGTACAAACTCTAAGCCTGTACTTCCTCTCCATTATGGGGATAATAATAATATGACATGAGATGTTGAGAAGATTTCATCAAATCATTCATGCAAGGGATTTTTGTGTAGTGGTTAAAACATAATAAATAATCAGTGTTAACTCTGGTCATTATGACACAGACGCATACAGCTTAGGATAGTAATAGCTACTATTTGCTGTGCTCCCAGGATTTTCCCTGCTTTCCATTCTTTTTATTTTTTAGTTTATTTTTGACTGTGCTGGGTTTTTGTTGCTGCACAAGGACTTTCTCTAGTTATGGTGCACAGGCTTCTCTTTGCAGTGCCTTCTCTTGTTGCAGAGCACAGGCTGTAGACCATGCAGGCTTCAGTAGTTGTGGCACATGGGATTTAGTCCCTTAGTTCAATTCCGGGGATTGAACCTGTGTCTCCAGCCCTGGCAGGTGGATTCTTAACCACTGGACCACCAGGGAAGTCCCTGTTGCTTTCCATTCTTGACAGCCAGAGCCCAGGGCTGCTGTGTCTCGGCCAGCATCCATCCTGACGTGACAGTACTGTGTACTTGAAGGTGTCCATTCTGAGTAATCGGGCATTGTGTGTATCTGTGGTTGCACCTTTTTAACAGCTCCCAGCCTTTAACATTGTGTCAGAGGCTCTCAGGCCTCTCCACGAGGATGATATTTCAGTTGAGCATTGTGAGAAAGAGAGATAAATATTCTGTTGCTTTGTTGTTTTATAGACACCATCAAGAGAAGCTGGAGGCCAGTATCTGTGATCTCCAGCAGAACTCACCTGTGCTGCAAAAGCCTGGACGGAAAAGAAAGTGGGCTGAACAAAAACAAGATTTTAGTGAAAAGAAATCCCTAGAGCAAACAAAAACGAAAGGTCTGTATGTTTTTCCAGGACTTACCAATGAGGGCTGTTAAGACTGTAGGGCTGGGCAAGCCCCCTTTGTATTTGCTTTCATATTCAATATGTGTGGGTGCCTGGAAAATGCCCCTTGTTAGTTTTCTTTTTTCTTTCTTTTTTTGTTCTTGCTTTAGCTACATCACACAATTTGTGGGATCTCAGTTCCCCAACCAGGGATTGAACTCAGGCTGCGGCAGTGAAAGCCTGAAATTGTAACCACTAGGCCACCAGGGAACTCTCCACCCCATGTTAGTTTTTTGATAGGAGGAAAGGAGAGTCAAAGGCACCCTGAGCTTATTTATCCTGCAGTAGGTAAACCTGAATATTTGAGGTTCAGGTCTGGATCTCTTTTTGGAAAAGCCGAATCTGATAAAAACTGAATCCTCAGAAAAACAAACATACACATTTTTTTTTTCTACACTGGATCTTTGTTGCTGCACAAAGGCTCTCTCTAGTGGCAGTGAACAGGAGCTACTGCATGGGCTTCTTATTGAGGTGGCTTCTCTTGTTGTGGAGCACCAGCTCTAGAGCTCAGGCTCAGTAGTTGTTGCTCATGGGCTTAGCTGCCCCACCGCATGTGGGGTCTTCCTGGACCAGGGGTTGAACCCATGTCCCCTGCATTGGCAGCTGAATTCCTAACTGCTGGACCACCAGGGACAGTCCTACACATTCATTTTGATGCCAGGAGTTATTAGAAAAGCAACCCCTGAGGCTCTGTTTTCTCTTCCCAGGTGTGCCAAAGGTGAAGCTGCTGTGCGGAGCAGATTTTTTGGAGTCCTTTGGTGTGCCCAATCTATGGAAGAGTGAGGATATCACCAAAATCCTGGGAGACTATGGGCTCATATGTATTACTCGGGCTGGGAATGATGCTCAGAAGTTCATCTACGAATCCGATGTGCTTTGGAAACACCAGAACAACATTCACCTGGTGAACGAATGGATCACCAATGACATCTCCTCCACGAAAATCCGGCGAGCCCTTAGAAGGGGCCAGAGCATTCGCTACTTGGTACCTGATCTTGTCCAAGAATATATTGAAAAGCATAATCTGTATAGCTCTGAGAGTGAGGAGAGGAATGTTGGAGTGGTCCTGGCTCCTTTGCAGAGAAACACTACAGAAGTTAAGGCATAAGAAATTCTACAGCATGGTATTTTAGACTTCTTTTTTGGGAATTTGAAACCATGTGGGTGTTAGTAACTAGGGGAAGAAATTGTTATCCTCTTTAATAAAGTTTAACAGTTTTGGTAAAATCAGTAGTAAATTAAAGTTAGGTTTATCTTTTTACTAGAAGTTGCTAAGATGAATGTTTTCAACATGTTGTTTTTAGTTTGGCTATGCCATGCAGCATGCAGGATCTTAGTTCCTCAACCAGGGATCAAACCTGTGCAGTGGGAGCACAGAGTCTTAACCAGTGGACTACCAGGGAAGTCCACAAATTCCTTTAACTTTAAAACGAGATTAGCAGCACTAAAACCAGAGGAACATTCTATCAAACTGAGTACAAAAACAATTCAAAAAGAGCATCCTGACTTTACCACATAAAGAGAAGTGAAGTGTGAAAAGTGACGTCTAGGAATTTCCTGGTGGTCTAGTGGTTAGGACTCTGCACTCTCACTGCCAAGGGCCCGGTCTTGGGAACTAACATCCCACATGCTGTGCAGCAAAAAAAAAAGAAGAAGAAGAAGAAGAAAATTAAGAGTCCACTTAAGATCCTGACTTAAGTTATGAAAGGAATGAACATTTGATGCATGTCTATTTCTGGGCCCCCTTCACCACAGTGGCCAAACAATTCTTAAAATAATGATCTTGTAAAAGGCATCACTAATCAGCTATCTCCAGCTGTGCAGAATACAGGCTGTGAATGATCTGGCAGATACTTTACACCAGTAATTCGTTCTCTCTGACACATCTCAGAAGGCCAGCGAAGCTTTGCTAAGGCATGTTGCCTGCAGCATCACTTTTGGAGGTAGGAAGAGGGGTCCAGGCCCTGGAATGTTTAGAAAGGTACACAGGTGTTTCTGATGCCCATGACAGATAGGGAACCTCTGCTCTCCACATGTTATGCATGGATTCTCTTAGCACATAAGAGACCTCTGAGAATGAGGTCTCTTGTTCAAGGAGTCTCATTCAAGAGAATGAGAGGTCTCATCCAATGATTTTATGAACTGTGAATGCTCTTAGCCTTTACTCATAGCTTAATAATCAAACAATGAAGGGACATAAGAAATACCACATTGAGTCAGCCCAGCAGTTCCTTTAGCTCAGAGTTTTGAGGCCCTGATGAAGGGTATGTGCAGGAAAGCTCCACAGTCTCAATCTAAAACTCTTGAGTTTTGGAAGACCCTTGCAGTTTCTGTTCCAGTCCCTTTGAACCTGCCATTTGTGAATTTAAGCAGAAAAAGAGCCTGTTTTTTATTATTTTTCTCATGTTCTTTTGTATGAACTTTAACCAAAGTAGGACACTCAAATAATAATTGAAGCCATAACATTATGTTAAAAAGACAAACTTGTTATATGGTTTGCTGCTGATTAAAATTCTGTGGCAGTTTTACCCATTAGTAAAGCACAAAGACCAGAAATAGCTTTTTTAGAATAGTTTTATGGTTCATGAAAATCATTCTGTGATAGAAACAGGACTAAAGTTAACTTTCTAAAGAAAGAATAATTTACCTTTACATACCTAAACCTAGTGATTTACATTTCATACCTACACTACTCTGGATGAAGGATTTATACCTCTGCAGAAGAAAAAAGATACTTATGTCTGTGCAGTTGAATAGTATTATCTGAAGCCACAGTTTTAAAAAGGAAATAAAGTTGGCAAATGTAAATTCTGTGGGTCTTGGCTTCCTCTTCTAATTTTTACTTATTTATTTATTTATGGCTGCATCAGGTCTTGGTTGCAGCATGTGGGATCTTTCATGGTGGCATGCAGACTTCTCTCTAGCTGAGGCCCCCAGGGTCAGTAGTTGCAGCTCACCTGCTTAGTTGCCCCGTGGCATGTGGGATCTTAGTTCCCCCACCAGGGATTGAACCTGTGTCCTCTACATTGGAAGGCAGATTCTTAACCACTGGACTACCATGGAAGTCCCCATTTCTGGCTGATTCTTACTGAAGTCAATGGATCTGTTTCTCAAAGAGAGAAGAGTACAAAGCTCAGCACCCAGTAGTTTCAGTCCCTTAACCTGCTGAATGAATGAAAGGTCATGACCTCAGATCATAAAAATGAGAATTGTTCCCCTGCCTCTCAGCTTTTTGGAGTTTAAAAGTTGGAGCAGTACTGAAAAATAGCAATAGAACTATTGCTAGAAGTCGATGAAGTTATCAAAATTTAACTTTGATTTCTTCTGGAAAACTACACAAGTTTGTCTGAAGTGTATGTGAACTGCAGGAAGGTTCCAGTGCTAGAAACTTCTTTTCTACTATGAAGCCTTTTCACCTAGAAGTGCCCATAGTCTGTGGAGTGTATTGACCTCAGGGCCTCCTGGGTAAGGCTCATAGGGACCCTCCCAGGAGACCTGGTAACAGTGAAACGGTCCTATTGTTGTGGTATTGATGGATCAGCAACTTTGTACATAGAAGGAGTTGCTTGGCTTTTTGTCCCCATACCAGGATGCTGCTAATGCCACAGCATAATAGCATGTTTCGGGGTCTCCTTAAGGATACAGCTTCCTCTTTGGATAATGAAACTAGGACAACTTTGTATAATGAAACTAGGACAATGAATTTCACAAGGAAATAAATATTAGTAACTGTTGCAGCTTTCATTGAGGAAGAGGGGGAAAGGCCATTGTTTATTCTCTATCATGTCTCATATTTGGCTCTTATGTGAATTTAGTTTAGGAATTGTGTAGAGCTGGTGTATTGTTTGATGCTGGTAGGGGTGGTGGTTTTTTTGTTTATATGCTGCTGCTGCTGCTAAGTTGCTTCAGTCATGTCCAACTCTTTTCAATCCTATGGACTGTAGCCTGCCAGGCTCCTCTGTCCATGGGGTTCTCCAGGCAAGAATACAGGAGTGGGTTGCCATGACCTTCTCCAGGGGATCTTCCTGACCGGCGGGTGGGTTGAACCTGGATCTCCTGCATTGCAGGCAGATGCTTTACCACTGAGCCACCAGGGAAGCCTAATAAATACTACAAGTTATTTGTCATGTATCTGAAACTTGAGGAATCCTATTTCTGGTTTATTTTTTGCCACTTCCAGCAAGTTTAAATGGGAGGAACAACCTGAGAGGATGCATGGAGAAGCCCATTCATGGAGCCAGCCCGGTTGAAGTCAAGTGTGGGGGGTGGGATGTGGGGGCTCATAGGGAAGCTTGGTGGGGTCCACATACAGTTTTTGACCTGTTACAGTAGCACCAGGACATGGTGGGGAATTCCTGTCTCTGTTGGACTTCTCCTCTGGGACAGTGTCCCCCACTCCACTCAGGAAATCACCTTGGTTTCAGTGCTGAGATTCAGATCCATGTCTGCCTCAAGCGCCTTATCAGTCAGTAATGCAGCAATGTTTCCCAAATCAAGTTAAAGTGCCAAGGTTTTTCCAGACCAGTGGGTAACATGACAACAGTGACACGTTTAAAAGAGTTAGGGAAATTTTCAAACATAGAATTAGTGATAAAAGTATAATGGGGCTTCCCTGGTGGCTCAGTGATAAAGAATCCTCCTGCTAATGCAGAAAACACGGGTATGATCCCCAGTCTGGGAAGATCCCACATGCCTTGGAGCAACTAAGCCTATGCGCCACAACTACTGAGACCATGTGCACCAACTACTGAAGCCCGTGCACCTCGAGCCCATGCTCTGCAACAAGAGAAGCCACCGCAGTGAGAAGCCCGTCCTCCGCAACTAGAGTGTGGACTCCACTCTTTGCAACTAGAGCAAAGCCCGTGCAGCAACGAAGACCCAGCACAGCCAAAAATAAATATAATAAATCCCCTGTGTATCTACGTCTTATCCCCGGAATGGGACCAAGCTCCCTGATGGCGTTGCCTCCTTGTGTTAGGAGGGGAGGTATAGATGAGGTGAAGTTTATTTTATGTCTTTATGCACCATTCTTTCCTGGACCAGTATCAGATTCCATCAAATGTCAGAAAAATGCCTCCACTACAAATGCCCCTCATCATTCCCGCTCATCACTGTCTAGGAGAAAGCACTGCTCATCCACAAGTGTAGGACTGCATCTTGGCTCTTAATTTTATGGTTCACTTTGCCAGTATCAAATGGAAGGAAAGAAAGCACAAATTTGGCCAAGTAACATTTGTCTTTCCTTTCCAGAGATAACTTTGGTCCTAGTCAGGAAGAAATATCTTGGAATTGTAGAGGAGAAGATTTCTCCTTCTTCCATGGGCAAGTCCAATCTATGTCCAGTCTACTTCAACAGCCATTCAACCCTACCCATAATAGATGGTCCTTGCCCAAACTGGCCAAGAGCCATACCAATCAGCACAATTGCTGACACTATTATTAGTTATTCCTGTGAATTTCATTTTCAGGCCAACATTTAGAACAATAAGATTTTAAGGATAGGAAGGAAATATGATTTCTCCATGTCCTGTTCCCTTAGTTATCTGGAATTTAAATAGGTTTCATGCTCCAGAAATCTGGTCAGAGTTCATAGTTCTGTGCCCTTGAAGTGGTAAAGTTTATCTAATCCCTGGATTTGATATCATCCTGTCATATTCCACCAAAGGAATCAATGTTTTGTACTTATGAGAATCAATAGCCTCATTTTGAGTAAGGCAATGTCACTATGGGCCTTAGGAAGTATCACAACAAACAAAGCTAGTGGAGGTGATGGAATTCAAGTTGCAAATCCTAAAAGATGATGCTGTTAAAGTGATGCACTTAATGTGCCAGCAAATTTGGAAAATTCAGCAGTGGCCACAGGACTGGAAAAGGTCAGTTTTCATTCCAATCCCAAAGAAAGGCAATGCCAAACAGTGTTCAAACTATCGCACAATTGCACTCATCTCACATGCTAGCAAAGTGATGCTTAAAATCCTGCAAGCCAGGCTTCAACAGTACATGAACCGAGAACTTCCACATGTTCAAGCTGGATTTAGAGAAGGCAGAGGAACCAGAGATCAAATTGCCAAGATCCATTGGATCGTAGAAAAAGCAAAAGAGTTCCAGAAATACATCTACTTCTGCTTTATTGAATACATCAAAGCCTTTGATTGTGTGGATCACAACAGACTGGAAAATTCTGAAAGAGATGGGAATACCAGACCACGTCACCTGCCTCCTGAGAAATTTGTATGCAGGTCAAGAAGCAACAGTAAGAACTGGACATGGAACAACAGACTGGTTCCAAACTGGGAAAGGAGTACATCAAGGCTGTATATTGTCAGAAGGACTGATGCTGAAGCTGAAGCTCCAATACTTTGGCCACCTGATGCAAAGAACTGCCTCATTGGAAAAGACCCTGATGCTGGGAAAGATTGAAGGTGGGAGGAGAAGGGGATGACAGAGGATGAGATGGTTGGATAGCATCACTGACTAAATCGACATAAGTTTGAGTAAGCTCCAGGAGTTGGTGATGGACAGGGAAGCCTGGCGTGCTGCAGTCCATGGGGTCACAAAGAGTCGGACATGACTGAGTGACTGAACTGAATATCACTATGTGAAAGCGTTAGTCGCTCAGTCATGTCTGACTCTTTGCGACCCCATGGACTATAGCCGGCCAGGCTCCTCTGTCCATGGAGTTCTCCAGGCAAGAATACTGGAATGGGTAGCCATTCCCTTCTCCAGGGGATCTTCCTGACCCAAGGATCGAACCTGGGTCTCCTGCATTGCAGGCAGATTCTTTACTGTCTGAGCCACCAGGGAAGCACTGTGCCACTATGGTTTCCTCAATAAAAGTAGATCTTTCCTCTGGAAAGTTCACAGCCATTCATTCACAAACATTTAATCACTTGCCAGGCATACAGGCGCTGGGGATACATTGAGGTGAATAAGATGAACACAGTCTCTACTCTTGACATTTTAATGAAAAAGGTAGTCAGTAAACAAAGCAAAAAAAAAAAAAAGATAATTATGGACTATGATAATTACAAATGATATAAGCAGAGTTGTGATGCAGAGTAATTGTATACCAGAAGGTTGCTCTGAAAAGGTGACTCAGATTTTTGAAGAGATTCAAATATTTACACACTGAAGCATTAGAATCTTGGGAGTAATGAAATCTGAATTATATTTCTCAAAAGCTTTCTTGGATGCAGAATGGAAAATAGTTTGGTTGGATAAGAGTAGAGGCAACAAGCCCAGGGAGGAGGCAAGACATGATGGTGGCTTGGGTTAGGTTGGAAGAACCAACAGGATTTGCTGGTGGGTTGGATATGGGTGAGTAGTAAAGGGGAAAATTCAGTGTTTACCGGGCTTTGGTTTTAACAGGTGACTAGTGGTACAATTTATAGAGATGAGGAAAGCTGAGGAATAATTTTATTTTATGCTTTCTGCTTTGGCTATATTACATTTGAGTGCCTTTAGGACCTCCAAGTGGAGATGTCAAGAGGCACCTTAAGTGGTGAGAGGTGACACATGAGCTTGATAATCGGGCTATCTGAGATTGAAACCAGACTCTTCCACCAACTGTATGACCTTGGGTAAGTCACTTAACCTTTCTTTGTCTCAGGATTTGTCTTTTTCAAATGGAGATAAATAAAGTAACTATTGGAGGGGTAGGATTTTGTGCTAAATGACAATACACATAGTAATCACTCAATAGATGTTGGCTATTAATGTACTTGAGTCTGGCGCTCATGTGAGAGATCTGAAATGGACAAATAAGCTGTACACCTAAAACTAACACAACATTGTAAATCAACTCTACAGCAATAAAAATTTTAAAAAGAAAAAAAGAAATGCCCCATGTCCACAGAACAAAGCCACAGATTCTGTTATCCTCCTCCAGTTTTGTTCCTTCTCCAAACTCCATTTTCCCAGGTGGTAGGACTGCGTGAGGGCCGGGGGAGGGTCCCTGAGCGAGCCAGCACTCAGCATGTGAGGGAGGCCACAGAAACTCTGCCCAACTGCATCTTACCTCACAGGGCTGGTTTTCAGAAATTCTTCAAGGCAGCAGATGAAACTCTTGCCACAATTGAGAAGTTGACGAAAAGCTTCCATGCTGTGTACATTGTTCTCTTTCTCTCTTTTTTACCTTTAAAAAGAAAAACCCAGAAAAACACATCAGATTTGTATAAATGAGAGTATGCCAACAGGGTGGCCAGTTTTGCTTTAGGTTTTATGAAGGATAATTTGTGACCCTATACACACACACACACACACACACACACACACAAAACACAGACATCTCCTGAACCAGCAACAGGACTTTGTTTATACTGCAAATAAATATTATTTTTTCTTTAAAGAAAAAAAAAAATGAACAGGTAAGTCGTGGAGCCAGCCTATAGAGATGGTATTCGGGGCTAATGTTATAGGTTAGCGCATATCCCCAACACCCTCCTCTTCTGCTTTTCTCTACTGTCAAGACTGAAGACTAGATACTAGATTTCCCAGGTTCCCTTGCAATTAGAAGTAGCCTATGATATGGTTTTGGTCAATGAGTGTAAACAGGAATCTGGTGAAGGGACAATGGCAGGTGGTTCTCTACCTCTTCTTTCCCACCTTGAATGTGGATGTTCCAGCAGCCAACTCATGACAGTGAGGTAACCAACAGGGATGAAAGGCCAGGAGAATACAGAGATGCCACTTTTTTACATGTAATATTTTTAATAAGATTTTTGGCTGTGCTGGGTCTTCATTGCTGGGCTCAGGCTTTTCTCTAGTTGCAGAACGGGGGACTACTCTCTAGTTGCGGTGTGTGGGCTTCTCCCTGTGGTGGCTTCTCTTGTTGCAGAGCATGGTCTTTAGGGTTGGGGCCCAGTAGTTGTGGGGCACCTGCTTAATGGCTCATGGCATATGGAATCTTCCCGGACCAGGGATGGAACCCATGTCCCCTTTTATGGCAGGTGGATTTTTAACCACTGGACCACCAAGGAAGTCCAGAGATGCCACTTCTATGTCACGAAGTTGCCACTTATCCCAAGACAGCTTGATAGGTAAGGAAGATAACCGCCTATTTATTGAGACCACTAGCACTAGATTTATTGGTATATTATTTGCAGCTGACCCAGCAATCCATCACGCATTTGAAGGAGATCTCTTGGTTATTAATGTGTGTGTCTGGGCTCAGTCGTGTCCAACTTTGCAACCCCACAGACTGGAGCCCGCCAAGCTCCTCTGTCCATGGCTTTCTCAGAGGAGGATATTGGAGTGGGTTGCTATTTCTTTCTCCAGGGGATCTTCCCAACCCAAGGATCTAACCGGTGTCTCCTGTGTCTCCTGCATTGCTGGAGGAGTCTTTACTACTGAGCCACCTGGGAAAAGCGTATTAACATGTAGACAGAGAAGAAAGTGTAGCTCTGATCCCGGTGTGGGGTACGTCCACTTTGGAGTTAAAGCAGAAGAGGACAGAGGCCCAGGAGCGCGTGGACAAGGAGGCTGGAAGTGGAGCGGATTTCCAGGAGGCCTGTGCCCAGCGCTTCCCGCAAGGCCCCTCCCGGCTCTGTCCCCTCGCGTCCCGCCCTGTCCGTCTCCCCGGCCAGACTTCGGCCTCCCAGTTCCCGCCGCCCCTGTCGGTGCCATCCCCAGACCCGCCATGCCTTCCGACCTCAGCGGCACCTGGAACCTGCTCAGCAGCGACAACGTCGAGGGCTACATGCGGGCCCTAGGTAAGCGGGAGGGGCAGTGCGGGGCGGTGGGCGGGGGGGCTCCGGTTCTGGCCGCGCGCCTGGTTCGGGACGGAGGCAGCCGGGCTGGCCTGCTGGTCCGTCTCCCTGCGTCCCCTCGCCTGCATCCGTGAGTCCCTGGTCTTACTACGGGTTCGCCAGGTCCCCCACTTCCCCACCCTCATCTATCCTCCGTCCCCCGGAACGTCTATCTGACTGTCGTTGGTCTTCCACCTCCGACCGTCTGCCAGTCCTTCAGTCCAGCCGCCTGTCCCCCCCAACCTTCGGTCTCCCGCCTTCCCCTGTTCTCCACCCGTCTGACGGTCTCCTGGTCCCTCCCGTCCTTCCTCTCCTAGTCGGCCAGTCTGTCTGTCCTCCCTTCTGTCCGCCGGTGCCCGGTCCACGCGGCCAAAGCTCCTGTCCCATCGCGGACTTCCTAGCAGGCGTGGGCGACGGTGGCGTGGGCCACCTCGCAGGGAGAGTCGGGGACACGATGGGGTTGCCCATGGGTGTCGGGGAGGCGCCCCGACCCGAAGCCCCTCCCCCGGAGATCCTCGCTCCGTGGCTGCTTTAACGCGGGTCTCTGGGCAACGGGTTCAGGGAATCTTCGAGTCCTGGGGAGGTCCCGGCCCGCAGCATCAGCGCCCCTGGAGAAGCTCCGGGACGCAGATTCCGGGGCCCCACCCTCGCCCCGCGGCGGCTCTAGTGCGGGTTAGAGTTCTGGAGACACGTTTGAAATCTTTAGTTTTCTGGTCTCCTCTTCTCATCGAGGGGCGGGGATTAAGAAACCCAGACCCTTTAGAGGCCGCTGCCCCCTCACCCCCCACCCCGGGGCCCAATTCCAGCCAGGAGGACTGTGGGTCGGTGCTTGGAGGGTTTGCTTCCACTTTCCTCTGCCGGGCAGGGAGGAAGAAATACGGAAGGGGCCTCTAGGGGTGTAGGCGGGCGGCGGGGTCCTCAGAGTTTCTTTCCTGCAGTGACGGTAGAATGCCTCCCTTTGATACTGATGCTCAGTTCCTTCTGCCGGTAATTTAATTCTTCAGTGTTGGTGGTTCTGAGCACCTGCTCATGCCAGCGCTTCTGACTAAATAACAGCAATCAGAGGCACCTTTTTGTGTTGCTGTTGTTAAATAGGAGTTCATTTGAAGCTGGCAGCATACCTCAAGCCAGGACTAGCCATGTTTCTAATGTTCAGCCGACACAAGTGGAAGTTGGCTACCCTACTAACCAGCAGAACTTGCGAAGGCTATCAGAATGGTGAAAGGAGATAGTGCATCTTCTTTGAACTTTATATTTTTATCTGCCTGCACTGGGTCTTAGTTGCAAGATGTGAGCTCTTTAGTTACAGCATGCAAACTCTTAGTTGGGGCAGGTGGGACGTGTTCCCTGACCAGGGATGGACCCCAGAACCCCTGCATTGGGAACATGGAGTCTTAGACACTGGCTCACCAGTGAAGTCCCTGATCAGGGTCACTTTTGATCCGGCCAGAGCTTCCAGAAGTCTGGGGGACTGGGGGCTGCTCTGGCTCTTCTGCATTATCTGACCTGGGCTTGGGTTTCTCCATCTGCAAATTGAGAGCAGGGGGGTCCCTTTTTTTTTTTCTTTTAATCACGCTAAAAAAATAAATAAATAACATAAAATCAGATATTTTAGCCATTTTGGAATGTACTATTATGGGCTTCCCAGGTGGCTCAGTGGTAAAGAATCAGCCTGCCAACACAGAAAATGCAGGTTTGATCCCTGGGTTGGGAACATCCCCCGGAGAAGGAAATGACAACCCGCTCCAGTGTTATTGCCTGGAGAACCCCATGGACAGAGGAGCCTGGCAGGCTACAGTCCGTGGGGTTGCAAAGAGTCAGATATGACTGAGTGACTAAACAGCAATTCTAAGGTTCCAGTGTGTCTGTAAGATCTCCCAACCTATGGTAAGATTTTACCCTCCCTTTCTCACACTAAGCAGGGAGGCCTGAAACAAGCTAAATCAGATTCATACTGACAGAAACCTTATAGGCAAGGAAAAAAATGTTAGTTCTCTACCTTTCTTAGTTTCATTGGTTGGGACCCTGTAAATTATACTAAGAGACAGAGTAACAAGACAACAAACAGAAGCTTGTTAACACATGCATGGTGAATACACTCAGGAGCATTCAGTGATGAGTATCTCCAAGTGGTTAGAACCTGAGCTTAGGGAACTTCCCTGGTGGGCCAGTGGTTGAAACTCGACTTCCAATGCAGGGGGCATGGGTTTGATCCCTGGTTGGGGAACTGAGATCCCACATGCCACCAGGTGTGGCCAAAATTTTTTTAAAAAGAAGAAAGAAAAAGAAAGAAAAAAAGGAAGTTATATGGCACCTGAGCAAAGAGTAATAATTCTGTAGAGAAGTGACAAGACAAAGAAAAGGGCTTTGAGATTCCAGGGGTGACAAATTGTGGGAAGATAAACACATGCAGGAACTAATGGTAAATAAGAATGAGTAAAGTTTGTTATGTAAATTCTCCTGGTGCCATCTCTAGACTGATAGGAGTTCAGAGTTGTGTCCCTAATTTCTGTCCAACCTGATACAGGGAGAGCAGGGGACACATTTACAAAATTATGTCCTGCTCTGGGGGAGGGCAGGGCTTTTCTGCTTTCCCATGGCCTTCATTTCAAAATAGTCAGTATAACAAAGTGGCATATTTTGGGGTGGCATCTTCTGCTACCCTTAATCTGAATTTCATTTCCTCTGTTTCTAATTCATAATAAGTAATAAATGATTATTTTTCCTAAAGGTAGTAAGCCCTGACAATTTACTTATCACCTCACCCTCAAATTAGTGGGGACATGTGATCATAAGTGCTTTCTTTTTCTGCTTGTTCGTGGTTTTTTGGTGGGGGAGGTTGTTTTTGGTCACAACCCATGGCATGTGGGATCTTAGTTCCCCATCCAGGGATCAAACCTGTGCCCCTACATTGGGAGTTTATGGGTTGTTAATCACTGGACTGCCAGGGAAGTCCTCACAAGTGCTTTCTTCCCTGGTTTCTCTGGCTAGCATCTGATGTCTTTGTGGAGGATAAAATGTTAGAGATCAGGGCATGGCTTTGAATTTTGCCTTGCAGTGCTTTCCTTTTAGTCATTCCCATGGCTTTTAGAGCAAATTTCTTAGAGCAGAAAACAAGGAATTGAGTCAGGGTGAATGTTTCTAGTGTGTGAAACATCTGTTGTTAAGCCTGTTGAGTATCGCAAAGCAGCCTTCTGAGTGTTTTTCAAATGTGTATTCGTGAAATCCTTCACCTGTCCCCAATACTGTCTTACTTTTCTGTATGTTATGCTGTGACTCCTTGTTTGAGACTTCTTTTTTCATGATTTCTGTAGAAGTTTATCCATTATTCACCATTGTATGAGATCCTAGAGGCTAACAGAGGCTCTATTTATTTATATTGTGTGCATTCATACTAAGTCACTTCAGTTGTGTCCAACTCTTTGTAACCCCATGGACTGTAGCCTGCCAGGCTGCCTGGGATTCTCCAGGCAAGAATATTGGAGGCTTGCCATTTCCTTTTCCAGGGGATCTTCCCAATCAGGGATTGAACCATCAAACCTGTGTCTCCTGCCCTGGAAGGCAGACTCTTTACCACTGTACCACCTGGGAAGCCCTTATTTACATTATTAGCTGTATTCATTTATCATCCAACCCATTTCACAAAGGATTAAACCAAATAGTATTGAATCGATATCCTGCCTCACAGCTCCTATTTTTAAAAAATTTTAATTTTGTTTATTTATTTTGGCTGTACTGTATGGCCTGTGGGGGCTTAGCTCCCCAACCAGGGATTGAACCTGTGCTCCTTGCAATGGCAGCATGGAGTCTTAACCACTGGACCATTTGGGAAGTCCCACAACTCCTTTTTTAATGTTTGGTTCTGGTTCCAGAAAGATACTGGATCCAGACAACACATTAACACTTATTTGCAGTTTGTTTCCCAAAAGAAATATAAGTGTGCTAGGGATTTATGGAATCCAAAAAGGTTCCAAATAGGAACTGGTTCCAAATAGGAAAAGGAGTACCTCAAGGCTATATATTGTCACCCTGCTTATTTAACTTATATGCAGAGTACATCATGAGAAACGCTGGGCTGGAAGAAGCACAAGCTGGAATCAAGATTGCTGGGAGAAATATCAATATCCTCAGATATGCAGACGACACCACCCTTATGGCAGAAAGTGAAGAGGAACTAAAAAGCCTCTTGATGAAAGTGAAGGAGGAGAGTGAAAAAGTTGGATTAAAGCTCAACATTCAAAAACCAAGATCATGGCATCTGGTCCCATCACTTCATAGGAAATAGATGGGGAAACAGTGGAAACAGTGTCAGACTTTATTTGTTGGGGCTCAAAAATCACTTCGATGGTGATTGCAGCCATGAAATTAAAAGACATTTACTCCTTAGAAGGAAAGTTATGACCAACCTAGATGGCATATTTAAAAGCAGAGACATTACTTTGCCAACAAAGGTCCATCTAGTCAAGGCTATGGTTTTTCCAGTGGTCATGTATGGATGTGATAGTTGGACT